TTTAAAATAAAACAAACCCGAACTCTCCAGCTTGAAGTATATTAAAAAAATCTTGGGACGCCGTTCAGGGTCCTTTTTGGACCTTGATCTCTGGAAAACTCCTAAACCGTAAGACTTGGAGACAAAACATTTTTTTCATTCCCGTAACTCATTGTGCCGAACAGTTATGGAAAGTTTCGTCAAGATCGGATGTACAATGTCAGAGATCATTTCTGAAGGGGAGGCCCTTAAGTGAACGATAATGTTCTGAAGCTAAAAACTTCAATTTTTCAGTCAGTTGAACGGCTCAGCTTGAAAGTAGTTTCATTCCACAACTCTCACAGGCCTCAGAGATGCGTCATTTGGAAAGAATTATTTCTTTATCTCATGACAGTGGTCACTGTGTTCTCAGACGTCTGAGTAGCATCAGAACCTTTCGGAGTTACAATTATTAATTCAAAAATATTCTGTGTTTCGAAGCTTTACGTTCCACAGTTTTGAATAATAGTTCCGTTACATCTCGATGGAGGCTATCGAATAAAAATACGTTTAAGCTCAGCCATCCAACTGACCGGACGATTGAACTTTTTAACTTTAGATTATTATTGTCCATTTAAAATGCTGCTCAGTTCGATGTATGTTACTACCTATCTACTCAAAGTTTCTCTGAATGTACTTCAAAAGTAAGAATTGTGATGCACTTGAAAAATAAACAAATGCATATGTAAATTGAGTAAATATAGAAAATTCAATAAATTACGATAACTCCTATCTCATATGAGGTCATCGTGCTTTGAAACACCATGCGTCAATGAGTTTAAGCGCTTTTTCTCAATTAAGAATAAACGCTTCTGAATTCGACTATTCATGCAGGCAGTAGTTTCTTAGGAGACTATTGTTGGAATATGGCGAGTTAGAAAATATCATGAATAAATTGATTACGAATTTGTATTATTATTAGGTATTGGTTACATAAATTTCAATTTACCGGGTTTAGGAACTAGTGAAACACATTATTTTATGGTTCAAGAATATCGAAAACCAGAGTATGAAGTTTCATCAATGCTTCGACCAACAACACCACATTATTGTCATCCTACCATTGATGAATACGTTATAGCTGCTTGTCAAGGAAAATTAT